TTAAGTCAGCAGTGTTTACTGTGGGTGTCTTGGAAGCGCTAATAGCCTAATGTACAGTGAGTCTTGGGGAGAACTGACGCTCCACAGACCCAGTGATAGTAAAGGCTTGTTCTTAATGGCATGTGTTCTAGGACTTGTATTTGGAAGAACTACTCTGGCAAACACTGCTCTTGGTCTCAGCCTTTCATTCGACTTTTGAGGAGGCAGGCCTGGGGGAGGGGGGCAGTCACTGGTCCTAGGTGCTAAGTAGAGCAGGTGCTAAGCCTGAACTTCTGATTCTGGGTCTAGAGGTGCCGCATAGCTGCACTGCTTGCTTCCCCAAGGCTATCAGGGGACTTCCAGGTTCTAGGGTGAGACTTGAGGGCTCCTCCCCATCCTCAGGTGAGGGATAAATCAAACCTCCTACTCCACAGGTGTGAACTCACAGGGGCCCATCGTAGAGATGGGGTTCTCTTGAAGACACGTGTTCCTCCCTAGTCCTACCTTCTAAGCTCCGGGGCTCTGGGGAAAGTGAGGGAGTCTTGGCAGTTGGTTGCTTCTGAGTGCTTACCCTACACATTCCATACCCTACCCTTTGGGGAAGGACAGAAGAGGACTGAAAATGAGTCTCCGCTGACTCAGGGACAGTGGATCTCAGACTTCCTTCAAATGGCTGAGCATCTGAAAGCATCTGAGCACCTCCTGGCATTCTAGGTGGAAGTTCCTCCCCCTCCCCTTCACCTCTCCATCCATCCCTCCATCCCTTTATCTACTCATCCATCCATCCATCCATCCCTCCTTCCCTCCATCCATCCTTCCATCGCCCATCTATCCCTATGTCCATCTGCTCATCCGTCCCTCCCTCCATCCTTCCATCCATCCATCTATCCATCCATTCATGCATCTATCCCTGCATCCTTCTTCCCATCTTCCCTCCCTCTATCCATCCAGTCTTTCATTCGGCAAAATTTGTTGGGAGTCTACTTTGACCTCATAAATACTACACAATCTTTCATTTCAAGGTATTGCAGTCCACAGGGGGAGACGGACAAATGAGTGAAAAATTACTGTACAGCATTACATGTTATAATAGTAACCTTGATTTGTTGAAAGCCTACCTTCTGCCAGGCATTAACCCATATTATTTAATTTAATCTCTGGGCAAATCTGCCAAATAAGTTTTATTTTTGTCTTCTCACAAATGAGTAAGGTGAGGGTCAGAGAGGTTAAGTCACCTGTCCAAGGTCACACAGCTAAGAGGTGATAGAACAACATTCAAACCCAGGCAGTCTGATGCCAGAGCCTGTGGTGGGAGCTGCTCCAGTATCCAGCGCGATTGGAAGGAAGCAGAGGAGTGCCCTGAACCAGCATGTGTGTTGGCGGGGAGGGTGTGGCACTCGCTGTTGTGACAAGGATGACTGGAGTAGGAGGTTCCCTGGGGGAGGTAGATGTTTGAGGTGAGTATTGAAGGATGAGCAGGAGTTAGTAAAATATTAGTAGCATAATAATTTCATTGTACAAGCTGATTTGGCATAACATTATATATTTGGTCAATTTAAATTGTAGTTGCTTAGACATAAATGGTCAGTCTACCAGTTATAAAGTGTAACATAAAATCAGCACCTCCTTCCTACTGCTCACACAGCTGTGGGTGATTATTCCAGAATTTTCCAAAGAAGATGTGCTTGCATCTCATAACCTTGTTTTGTGGCTGTCAAGACCTCCTCTAAGGAGAGCATGGGCAGACCTTCTAGTGTTTACAGAAAGTGTAGACAGGAAAGCATAACACTGGGAGACATTCTGTTTAATTTCATCTGCAAATGAAACACTCACCCCTCGCTTCTTCCACAAGTGCTCGTACAGAGGCTTACCCAGCTCCAGCTCATCAAGCCCGACCATGCCAGGCGCCAACCTCACTTTTCTTTATAACATGGGGTTCAATCGGGAAGCGAGGCCCCGAAGTCTTTTCTCTGTGGCCCTGCATTGGCAGAGCTAGGAACTGAACCCTTGTCTGTATCTTCTCCCTCCTGACTATTCAGTTCCTTCTGTTCAGTTCTTGCCACTCAGCTCACTCTCCCTTGAGATCCCAAGCTAAGGACAGCTCTAATCTTGCTGCTTCTTACAGACACTTGTGTGTACACCATCTGGTCCCTGGCACCAGGGACTGGCAAACTTTCTCCATCCATGGCCAGGTAATAAATGTTTTTGGCTTTGTGGGCCAGCGGTCTCTGTCACAGCTGCCCTGCTCCACCATGGCCTGTGGTAGCCGCAGTGGACAGTACATAAACCGTGGGCGTGGCTGGTGCCAATTCAACCTTATTTATTTATTTGAATTTCATGTGTTACAAAATATTCTTTTTATTTTTTCCCAACTATTAAAAAATGTAAAATCTGTTCTTAGCTGGCAAGCTGTACAAAATATTGGTGGTGGGTTGGATTTGGTCCATAGGCCCTAGTTGGCCAATTCCTGCCCTACGCCAACCCTTATTCTTATCTCATTGATGAAGAAGCTGAGGATCAGACCCCTCAGCGTGGGCGAGCAGAGCTGGTATAACCCCAGGCCCTCTGAATGCAATCTGGGGGTCTCCTTGGGGCTTGGTGGTGGTTGTGGGCTTCCTGAAGTTGATGCCCCTCCATCACGGGGCCACCTGGGCATGTCCCCAGCCTTAGCTGACGCCCTGCCCTCCAGGGAACTGCCCATCTTCTGCCGAGTGTGGAGAATGTATTCATCTCCTGCTCCCTGTTGCTGCGAGAGGGAAATGTCTACACTTGTCAGGCAGAAGGAAATTGGATCCTGGATCTTGGCCAACAGGAGCCGCCCACTCTGAGCTCTGATTCTCAGCCCCTTCTCCTCCGTCGGGTCATTCCCAGGTAGTCTCTGGGCCTGCCCCTATTGGCCAACCTACCTGCCAGTCATGGGCTATTTCAGCACCTGAACCCACCCAGCTGCCTCCCAGAGACGATGGGGTGACCTAAGGGGCCAGGCAGCCTGGGTTCTGTTCTTGCTGGTCCATGTACCCGTGACTTTGGTCAAGCTCCTTCACCCCTCTGGGCCTGAGTTTGTTCATAAGATGCTGAAAGGCTTTGCCCAACTCCTAGCACAATCTGTGTGAGTGACAAGAGGTTGCCTGGGGAATATTGGGGATACCAGCCCAGCAGCCAAACCAGAGCTCCTTTGAATGAGCAGTGACCTTGGTGCTCACCACCTACTTGGACGACGGAATCCTCCCCATCCCCAAAGACCCCTTATCGCAGTCATGGCCACTCCTCGGAAGGTAGCACTCACAGTGGAAGGATCTTGGGCAGCGGAGCTACCACTGCTTAGCGAGCTGTGTAACTTGGGCAAGTGACTGCCCCTTTCTGAGCCCGACCCATCCTGCTCCCTGAGACAGGAGGACCCCCTCACCTTCTGGGCAAGTCGTGAGGATTAAAGGGAAGGACAGATGCCAATGGCCACCCAGAATAGGTGCTGATTATGAGGAGGCCAGCTTTCCACTCTTGTCTAAAAACTGTCCCTTTGGAACACCCCCAACGCTGCCAGGTGGCCCTGGAGACCCAGCCAGAGCAGAGGTTGTGGGAGCCGGAAAGTGGAGAAACTCCCTTCCCGGACTCTCTAGAACTGTGCAACAGTGCAGGCCAGCATCCGTTGCCAAAGGACTGGTTCCACACTTCTCCAATTTCACAAGAATGCGGTCAGCACCACTGCTCCTGCCGCTCCACTCGCACGTAGTGATGGCGTTCTTCTGGTGAAGTGATGACTTATCTATAGGCTGCTTGGGACTGAGCCTGGGGCAGCCCCTCTTACTCAGGGGAGACTCAAGCAGGCCAGTGGAAGGAAAGAAAAACATGCTGCCCTTGGTGAGAAAATCTTTTCTCTCCTGCTGTTTTGTTCTGTGGTTGTCAGGCGCTGGCTGGGAGGGGAGAGAGGAAACAATAGCTCTCCTTCATGTGGACCGTCCCCAGCAGGCCTTACTGGGGCAGGCCTGGGTTGGGGATCTCAGATCTCGGTTCTCCTGACACGGGGGAGCCCTTGTGTTCTCCCCCTCTGGGTCTGGGGGAGGCCCCAGGTGGAGTTGCTGAGGCTGGACTTCCCTAGCTCTGAGTCACTGCTGTCCCCATATTTCTCTGACCCAGGCTTTGGACCCTGGTAGCCTGGAAAAGCGTTCAGTCTAATCTCCCCATGTAGCTCTTGAATTCCCCATAAGTCTATTTAGACTTTGCTTCCATGCCACTTGTGACAGGGCGCTCCCTACCACCCAGACAATCTTTTTTCCCTGTTTGGACAGTTTTGCTTCACTTTGTGCTCAAATCTCCCCATTAACCCCTCTCCCCCGGTCACTGGAGGTGTAGAAAGTTGAAGCCGAGCTCCCACTTGGCCAAGATGTTAGGAGACTGTTTTTCTGCCCAGAGAAGTGGTGGGGGGGAACCTCTGTATGGACAGAGGTAGGTCATGAGACTTAGGACTGCCTTTCACCCTTGCAAGAGGAAGAAGGGTGAAGCCCTGCCTCGGGCCCTCTGCTCCCTCTGCTCTGCGGCCTGCTTCTCCCTCCCACTGTCCCCTAACCTCCACAGGGCGGTGGGAACCTGACGGGGTCTGGTGCCTGCTTCCCCCTCTCCTGAGCCCAGCTCTGCCCACGCAGCTGTCCCAGGCCAACTGTCTCGGCCCCAGCTGCCTACTCTGGCTTCCGTGGTCCCACAAGTTCTGAGGGCTGGCCATGGTCATTCCTGGGTTGTCTGGCCTCAGGGAGGCTGAGGGTCTCCATTATTTCTCTCCAGGCCCTGCCCTAGTGGAGTGGCTGACCCAGACCCTAAGTGCAGCCCACACCCCACTGTATGACTTTGGGTCAGTAATCTAACATCTCTGGGCCTCAGGGTCCCTAAAACAGGACCTGATGTTGGTGCCTACCTCATGAGGTTGTTGGGAGGGTGACCTGGGATGATGTGGGGCCAGCAGATCTCTTCCCTGACCCTGGCCAGGTCCCACCTTGCACTGACCTACCTGCCTTCTGTCTTCTCTCCAGGGAGCTCCACGACCGGCAGGATGGGGTCAGCCTGTATCAAAGTCACCAAATACTTTCTCTTCCTCTTCAACTTGCTCTTCTTTGTAAGTATGACCTTGGCCACCCAGCTGCCTCCAACAGAGACTCTCTTTCCTGGGCCATCCCAGCCTGAGACCCTCCAGGCCTAGGGATGGTGGTGGGATGTGGCTGGTGGGGCTGAGGATGCACTGTTCAAAATGGAACCAGGTGGGGGCAGTGGGGAGATTCCCAGGGTTCCCAGTGGCTTGGCGGCGGTACACTGGACTCCTCGCCCAGGCTCCCTGTCTCCTGGAGTGCTGAGGCCACCGGGCTGTCAGGGCTGGAGGTGGGCATGGGGAGAGGACAGCCCCAGGTGTCCCCCAGCTGGCCAGCAGGGAGTTGTTGTGGGGAGCCTCTGGAATCTTTCTCATCCTGTCCTGACACCCCACCCTCCTCTACCCACTCTGAAGACTTGCCTGTTACAGCTCTAGGTCTCAACTACCCCTGCCACACCCCCATCCACATTGTAGGGATGTCCCCGAGCTCCCAAGGGTAGGCAAGAGGAGGCTGGGCTCTGGGCCAGGGTGAGGACACAGTCGCCCTTCCCCAGACCCACCCTGGCAGGTCTCCGCAGGTCACGAGCCACAGGGCCACCCAGATGTCAGCTCTGTGCACATCTGGAACTGGTTTTCCTGGGGCCTCAATTTTCCTCTCTGGTCTGGCACAGACGGACTCCTGCCTTGGAGTTGCCAGGATGATGATGATGGTGATGTGTGAGTGTGTATGTGATTATGCATGAGTATGCATTTGTGAGAGTGTGACTGTGTGTATGTGTGTGATGGGGGTGAGGGTGTAGGTGGTGGGAGAGATTCTCAAAGCCCCAGATTGGTGCTGGGGGCCTTGGCCTCTCATGGTGTTGGGTCACCCTATACTACTAAAAAATCATATTTTATAATAGGATATTTCTTATGATTCCATTTTTAAACTGTACACATACATGAATATTTTTGAGAGGAGAAGAAAATACCTTCAAATATTAATATTGGGATTCCTGGGAATTTGGGTTTTATTCTTTTTGCTTCTCTGCAGTTTTGAAATTTTCTACAGGAGACATGAATCGCTTATGGGAAAGAAATGGTTTTACATTACAAGTTACATAGGATTATAGAGTTTGGAAATAAAGACTCATTCTAAATTCCAAGACTCAATCTCATAACTTTAATCCAACACACAGATACTTCCAAGTGTGTTTCTGGCACATTCATGTGCACACACGTGCAGGCACACATGTACAGGGACAGCCCTGCCCTGCTGTTTGGCCACCCTGGCTCCAGCCCCAGCTCCGTCCTCAAGGACCATGCTGAGGCCCCCCTGCCGCTCTGGGCCTCCACTGATGGCAGCCGGGCCTGGGTATCTGGGTTTCCCTGCTTGGAGTTCAGGTCCCTCCTGGCTGGGCCAGGCCTCTGGAAAGCGGCTGCCCACATAGCAGAGCCAAGCCTTCCCTGGCAGGCGCTTGGCTCCCCGGGCTGGGGCCCAGCTTTTAAAAAAGGCCAGCTGGTCAGGATGGGGTGGGGGATGTGGGAGCCCCATGGTTTTATCCCGTGGGCTCTAGGAACCGGAAGGAGGAGTCTGGGCTACAGCCTAGGAGGTGGTGGGACTTGGGGTTCAGGGGCACAAACACCCCCTCTTCGCTCATGCAGTGGGTGGGATGGGGTAGAGACTTGGTAGAGAAAGGGAGTGAGGTTGATGGTTTTGGCCAAGGTGTTCCTTCCTGTCCTGCTCCCAGGCTGCCCTATAGAGCCGGAGCCTGGAAGAGCTTCCCTCCGGCCAGAGCGCCGGGGGCCAGTCTTGCTTGGCCTCCTCCCAGCCACTCCAGGGGGCTGGCAGAAGGAAGTGTTCACTCCCTGTGTCCTGGGGCCAGAGTAGCTCATCAGAATGGGAGGCTGCTGTACTTGGGGAGAGGGGGAGCTTTTATCACAGGAGAGTGACAGGGGAAGGAGAGAGTTAGGGGAGACTCTGTGTGTATGTGTGTGTGTTTGTTCATTCACTCATCCACTCATCACTAATTTACCAAACGTGGATTTGAAACCTCTGTGTATTCAGACCCCGTCCTGGATGCCAGGTAGACAGTCACTGGCAGAAGGGCCACGGCTTCTGCACTCTTGGTGGGGCTGACGTTCTGGGGAGTGGTGGGCTTTGATCCAGGACTCAAAAGGAAGTTAAAATTGCAGCTGTGTTAGGTGCTGGAATGAAGGACATGGTCCCTAAGAGAGCAGATAATAAGACACTTGGCTTTGTCAGGGCAGTCAGCAAGCACTCCCTGGAGTTGTGGCTGGGAGAGCGGGGTCCGGGCAGCAGAGTGGAAGTCCAGCCTAGGGGGAGAGGGGCAGAGTGCGCCTCCCCAGGGCATGGGCCATGCAGGCCTTCCAGGAAGGACTGGGTCTTTGTTTCATGCACAGGGAAGCACTTACGTGATTGGACTTGTGGTTTGGCAGAGCCACTGGGCTGCTGTGTGTGCTCACACATGCAGGCGGGTACACGTGTACATCCTTGCCTCCACTCCCTCCTGACCCCAAACTCCCCGGGAAAATTGCCCCATCAGCTTTTGTCAGATCCCGAGAAACCCTGAGGCCGTTCTTGGGGCAGGACGCTGGCTATGAGGCTCCTGGCTCCTGGCTGAGCCCTGTCAGGAGATTCTCGTGGGTCTGGGGAGGAGTGTTAATATGGGATGTGCACCACAGCCCTGGTCCAGTTCACAGAGAAAGGGGGTGTCATGGTGCCTCCCCCGTTCTGGCTGGCCCCTGACCTGGCCTCGTTCCTGGCTGTCCCATGGCCTGACAGCTGGCGCAGCCACACCTGGCGGCCAGGCTGTGTCATCAGATCACAGAGCCAAACAGGCAGCACCAGGGACTTTCCTCCCTGGGTTCCTGGAGGCCAGCTGAGGGGCTCAGCTGGGCAGCCTGGGATTTTGCTCTATTTGGGATTATATTTGCCCAGAGGGAATTTTCTGCCCTGCCTCCCCTTCTCTGTTTAGGAGTGTGGTTCTCCCTGCAGTCCTGCCCTGTTGGTGCAGGAGGTGTGCAGACAGGGGCTCCTCCACATGGGTCTGAGGTGGCAGGAGCAGACCATGGGCTAGCTGTTTTGTGAGGTGTGAGGTTGGGGTGGGCAGGGGTTCAGGAGTCTTTGGGAACCAAACTGGTAGGTCCTGTAAGGCCCACCTTTCTCCCAGCAGGCTGCGTGGTCTGAGGTGCCCCCACTTACGGGTGGACCCTTCCCCTTCCCAGGGTCTCAGTAGCTTTCCTGTCCCCAGGGACTGGCTTTCTAGGCTCAGACCAGGGAGGGACCCCAGGTACCCCTGATGCTGATGTGTCACCATCTGGCCTGATTAAATAGTCAGACTTGACTTTGAGCCCCTGACAGGTGAATTGGGTGACCTTGGGCCAGGTTAGGACCTCAGTTTCTCCATCTGTAAAATGAGGACAGTAACAGGGCCCATCTGAGAAGAAGAGAGGTGAGGACAGGTGAGCTCCTGGGAGACAGTGGGGGACAAATGTGGGGAGATCACTGTGCCTTCATCTTCCTGGTTCTTGGCTGCTGTTGTCTTTAAGCAGGGCCAGGGTAAGGCGAGTGAGATCAGAAACAGCCCCACACGGCATCACACTGGGGCCCTGATCCTTTTCAGAAGGGAAAATCAGTAATACCAAGCCTGTCTTTATTTAAAGGTTTGATATTTTGTTCATCATGGATTCTTTTCCCAATTAATTTGGGTTTCTTAAAAATAATTGCTGTAAACTTTGATTTATTTTGGTTACTGAGTTTTTTGGTGTCCCCTTCATTTTTCCACCTGAGTCAAATGCCACATTCACCTTACCCAGGGGCCCAGTTCTGGTCTTTAATAACTGCAGACCAGGCTGAGCAAGACTCTGGGCCCGGGGGGCTCACCCCAGGCTGAGGGCTTTATCAGTACTTACTGACCTTGCACCTGAGGTTATGGGATGGATGATGGCTGAGGCAGGAACCCCGGGCTGGTAGTAAACGTGGGTAGTGACAGGCTGGGACCCTGAAGGTGGGTTCGTCCCCAGATGGGTCTAAGCCAGGCCCCAGGGAAAGGCCAGTCTTGTGGGGTGATGCAGACCCCTACACCCCAGGCCCCTCAGGGGAATCTGTGCTTCTGCCCGGACTGCAGGCCCCTCCTCAGCCTTAGCTGGCTTGATGGGATGGTGGCTCTTGGCTAGATTTCCACCTGGGAGGTGGGCTCAGCTCAGGTTGTGGACCCGCCCTGGTTGAGGGAAGGGAGGCAGGGAATCCCTATGTCAGCCGTTTCCCATTTGTTTTCTTTTCCAGTCTTGCATTTACACAGTTTGATTCATGAACTCGCTCACTGCCTGCGTCCGCAGCACCTGGGACTGTAAGTGCCCAGGTGCACAGTGCTGCATGCAACCCAGCCCTGCCCTCGGGGAGCTTGCAGTCTAGGCAGAGAGACACGTGGCTGAGTTAAACCCAGTGTGAAAGGCTCTTAAGAAGAGTCTGACACAGAGAAAGACAAATACTGTAAGATATCACTTACATGTGGAATCTAAAAAAAAAAAACAAACTAGTGACTATAACAGAAAAGAACCAGATTCACAGACGTAGAGAACGAACTAGTGGTTACCAGTGGGGAGAGGGAAGCGGCGGGGGGGTGGGGCAAGAGAGAGGTGGAGGATGAAGAGGTACACGCTATCAAATATAAAATAAGCTACAAGTATGTTTTGTACAACATGGAGAATAATAACTACACATGGAGCTTAACCTTTCAAAATTGGGAATTACTCTACTGTATACCTGGAACATGTAATATTGTACATCAACTACACTTCAGTTTAAAAAATATGATATTGTAAAATAAATGCATAAATAACTTTTAAAAAATATTTTTTAAAAAAGGAGGTCTGACAGCACAGGCTATGCAGTAGGGGCCCCTTGGTCTGCCTGAGGGTCAGGAAGGTCCCCTCTCCTGGCCTTGGACCCAAGATATGAAGGATGGTTGGGTTAGGCTTTGATGATAAGTCCACTGAGGGTTTTCCCACCCCGAGCCTGGCTTCTCTAGGAAGCTCCAGCCCCCAAGTTGGGGAAGGGCAGGAAGATAGTAGAAGGGTGCCCCTGGCAGGAGGCTATATCCCAGAGCCTGTAGGCTCAGTTTGACCACACATGGGCCTAGGGTAGGGGAGACGGGAGGCAGGAGGGACTCCCCACTCATGGCCCTGCTGTCTGGATTGCTGGGGTTGGCCAGGACTTAGAGTTTGGGGCCTGAGGCCATCCTGACATCCCTGGGCTGGGCAAGGATGGAGGTGGCTCCCCTGTGTCCCCATGCCTGGGTGGCAGGGGCAGCTGGTTGGGGCCCTCTCACCCCACCTGCTCTCCAGCCCCCCAAGTAACAGCCCCCTTTTCCTTCTAGGTCCTGGGTGCTGTGATCCTGGGCTTCGGGGTGTGGATCCTGGCTGACAGGAGCAGTTTCATCTCCGTCCTGCGTAAGGACCCCTCTGCTCCCCCTGCCCCAGCCGCCTCTCGAGTGGGGCCCAGCAGGCAGGGCTGCTCCCACAAGAACTTGAGCCCCAGTTCTGGTCCCTTTTCCAGCAGCCCTCAGGGCCTTGCCCAGGTCCTGCTGCTGACCACCTCCCGAAGGGCCTCTCTGCAGGGGTTTCCAGAAGGAATTTTCTCTCCCTCCCCAGACAAAGCTGCTGTTGTCTGGAGAGCACTGGGGGATGCGGGAGTCTTGTTCGCCATCCTGGCCCCTTCCCTCTGCCCTGACCTTGAGAAAGCCTCTTACATCCTCGGTTCCTCTATTTGCTTGCTCAGCAAAACGTGGCCAACAGTCCCTCCCTTCCCCAGTTCAGAGAGGGCCAGGAACGGTAGATTACCAGGTATCCATGAAGCTCCTACTATGTGCCAGGCACCGGCCAGGTAGTTCAGGCCAGTGCACAGTTGAGGAGGCACCAGGCCCAGCGTCTGTTCTGTTGTTTGTGCTCCTGATGTGCCAGACATGGGGCCAAGCATTTTGCATAGATAAATTGTCTTAATCCCACAACAGCTCTGTGCAGTAGGAACTTCCTGCCTTACAAATGAAGAAATGAGGCTCAGAGAAGTGACGTCCCTTGCTTAAGTTCACAAAGCCTCTGAGTGATAGGTGTGGGTCTTGAGCCCCCAGAACCTTTGTCCTAAATGCTGCACATAGTGGAGGGCGGGGAGAGGGGGGAACCACAGCATGGAAGCCTCTTGTCTCACCGTTGAAGCTGGAGGGAAGAAACCCACGGCTCTCCTGCCGGGATGATTAAAGCCTTTCCGGTTTACTCACTGTCTCCTCCAGGAAGCCTGCCGGCTGGCTGCACTAGCCTCTCGTGGAAGTCCTGAGGTGGGAGGGAGGCAGAGCAGAGCAGGGGGCCCCAAGTAGCACAGTAATGCCACTCCCCTCAGTGAGCGCGTCCTTGGCTCACTTCCCCTCCCAGCAGCTGCCCAAAGCAGCGGGTTTGGACTCAGGCCCATGACAGCTGCTTGATTTGAATGAAACGGAACCAGGCTAGTATGAGTGATGAAGGGGCTACACCTGTCACCGGGGCCCCAGGGGCTAGGCCTCCCCTCAGATGTGCAGGGAAGCCAGGATGATCCAGCCTCCAGCCACATCCGATGTGGTCTGGGGCTGTCAGGGTGCAGACTGCTCCCCATTCTGGGGCTAAGGTTTGGGTTTCCGACCTCAGCTGGGCGCCCACCCTCCCTACATGGGACATACCCTCCTTGGCTCTGCTTGGCCCGGGCTCCCACTTCCTGGGCTGTGGCCCACACCCAGCAGGCACCGCGCCTCTGGGCAAAGTCTCAAGGCCCAGCCCACCCACCGCATTTCTGCCCTCTGCTCCTCTCGCCTCCTCCCTGTTCAGGGTTGAGAATCTTGAGCTGGCCAGACTTTAGAGGCCCCCTGGATGCACCCGAGTGTTTTTATAAATACCAAGGCCTGGGCCTCACCCCAGGGGATCTGACTTCATTGGTGTGGGTGGAGGCCGGTGCACTGAGATTTTTAAAAAGCTTCCCAGGGGGTTCCCCAGGCAGCCAGAGTTCAGAAACACCAGTCTGCCAGCTGGGTCACTATACCCTTGGGTAAACTGGGGCTCAGAGATGGAGGGAAAAGATTTGCTAAGAGTCACACACCAAGTGAAGTTCAGAACCAGGAACCCAGGGCCTACTATGTGCCAGGCCTGCATGACATGCCTCTTTTCTTACCTAGCTGAATGCTCACTGTGAGTCCGTGGGGCCAGGCATTATCAACTCCATTTTACAATGGAGGAAATTGAAGGGAGGGGAAGTAAATCGTCTCAGGGCACACAGCTGGAGGGTAGGGGAGCAGGGACACGAACCGGGTGGCATGTCTCCTGAGCCCCTACCCTGTGAGGCATACCATGCATTTGCATCGTAATAAGCAGAAGCAAGCACGATGGTTAAGAACACAGACCGTGGAGCCAGGCTGCCATGGTTCCAGTCCTGGCTCTGCTATCGACTGGCTGTGTGATCCTGGGCAAGTTACTTCACCTCTCTGTGCCTCCTCATCTGTAAAATGGAGATAAGGATAGGCTGAACATCATAAGGCTGTCGTGAGAAAGTAGATGAGTTAATGTCTGAAAAGCATTTAGAACAGCTTCTAATAAATTGTACACCTTACACAAGTGATTGTTAAGTAAGTTTATAGCACTATTTAATCTTTAGAACATCTTTAAGAAGTAGGAATTATCAATTTCTTTTTATAAAGAAAGAAACAGAGGCCTAGAAAATGGCTGGTCCGGGGTCAGAGCCTATTAGCAGCAGAGCTGGGACTAGTTCTCACTTCTCGTGGTCCTTGGGCTCTTTCAGTTTGGGCCACTTTCTCCCCACCTTGTTGGTACCTCCTAGGCCCAATAAGGCCAAGAAGATGTTGGTTGGTGCACAGTGTGTTGGCCTCCCCAGGCTACAAGCTTGTCCCTTTCTAAGTCAAGCTGCTCAAATCAGGGCCAGCCTGAGACCCTGGACAAGGACAGGGACTGGTATCAGTGAAGTGTTCTGAGAAACAGAGACCCTGCAACTCGGCTGGGCCCCCAGGAGAAGGACCCGAGTCGGGGTCTCAGCCCCAGGTGTTGCCCCTTCGGCACCTTGGCAGCATCTTAGCTGCTCTGGGCCTCCAGGCCCTTAGGGACAGATCAGGGTGTAGACCTACTGTCATCGGGCTGTTGTGGAATTCAGCAGGATGATTTGGATAAAGGGCCTTTTTCAGGGCTGGCGCACAGTGGAATTCCAGGCAGTGCCAGTTGCTTTTTTGGAGGGGGAGCCCTCACTGCGGGGACTTGCGGAACCCAAACCCAGGAAGTTTAGGAAAAGTAAAATTTAACAGCTTTCCCCTGCTCTCGTGGATGGCGGAGAGCCAGGGTGGTGAGGGCCTGGAATGAAGAGGAAGGCACCTCACTCACCCCCGCAGGGCTCTGCCCACATTCCTGGGGGCTCCTATGAGGAGCTGGGTGGGGGTGCCTGAAAGTGAGGTGGGCTGGCCTGGGCTTTTCCTGAGCTCCAGAACATTCTGTCTGTGCCCAGGAAGTGGAGCTGGATCACATCCTTCTGCCCACCCATGCTCCAGCTTTGTCGCTGTTCCTTAAGGGTGCTAACGCCCACTTAGTGTCTCAGGTGGGGATCTCAGCTCCCCAGGGTCATGGTCACCTAGCTTAACAACTGTGGCAGCCCTGGCTGTATCCGAGTCATCAGGGAAGCACATTAAAAATGCAGGTTCCAGATCGTCTCCTGGAAAATCTGCCTGGCTATGATAGACTCAGGAGTCTGCCTCCCTAAGAGGTTCTTCTGATCCACTGAGGCTCCTAGGATGCTCTGCAGCTTTCTAGTAACATCCTGCCCAGCTGCCTCCCTAAGAATGCCTTGCCAACCTCTCCAGAGAGCCAGGGCTGTCAGGGGAGTGAGCACATCCACCCTGGCCCTCCTGGTGGGTCACAGCCCCGGGGTGGAGCATACCCCATGCACCCCACACCCAAGAGCTGGAGGCAGATGTGAGCCTTACCGTGTGTTATCTTGGGAATCCTGGGAAATGCTAATCAAGTGCCCTGATGAGACTTCTGACCTCCAGCCCCCTGGGTGGGCTCTGTCCACTGGCGGCCCTGAAGAGGGTCTCTGGCCATTAGGCCCCACTCTCTCTCTGTGTCTCAAGTGTACTGCTTGTCAGACTCCTCTCTCATTCCCACTAGTCCTTTCTTTCTCTCCTTCTTTCCCTTCTTCCTCTCCTTCTTTCCCTTCTTCAAATACACCAAGCTTACTCCTTCCTCAGGCCTTTGCACCTGCTGTTCCCACTGCCTAGAATGCTGTTCCTCAGATCTCCACTTGGCTGACTCCATTCTTATCTGAGCAAAAATATCCACCTACTCAGACCTGCCTTCCCCAGCCACCTCGACACCCCCACCCCCGACTCCCGCCTGTGTTCTTGACGTTAGCTGGCTTCCATATCTTCGTCGCCCTTCACACAACCAGATCTCCACCCTCAACCCATTGAATGTAGCTTCTTCATGCAGGGGCCTTGGCAGGCTGGCTTCTGTACCCCCAGCAACCAGCACAGCAGCTGGCACACAGTGGACACCTAGTAAATCTTCGTCGGCTGAACAAATGTATGTGTGTAATGCCTGTATCAGTTCACATGCCCTGTGCATCAGGGGAAAGAGCATGGCATTGAGGGGTCTGCCTGTTTCCAAAGCCCAACTCTGGCCCTTGCTAGTGTGCCTCTCTGAGCCTCAGTTTCCTCGTCTGTGAGATGGCCGTACTGGTGCCTACTGGGCAGCGTTCTGTCAGAGTGGAGACAGCATGTGTGAAGCCGCTGAGGCATCGTGAGTGGGAGAAGAGCCTGGAGTTCATTGTTTATGGACGAGGAGGAAGACAGGCCCTCAGCGTCTGTGGCCCCAGCAGAACCTGCCAGTCTGTGGTGTGTTAATTCAGGCAATATTCATACAGCACTTTGCTGTGCCAGACGCTGTTCTGAAGGCAGGGGGGTCAGCAGGGACCAGAGTCCCTGTGTTCATGCTGCTCACGTGCTCGTGGGGGCAGCAGACAATGAGTAAGATAAGTCAGTAAAATGTAGAGTCTTTTCAATCCTGGCAAGAGGTAAGGAGAAAAACTAAAGCAGGGCTGGGGGTTAGGATAGATGGGGGTGGGGTGCACACCTAGGGAAGGCAGCTTCCAAAGCGGGAGGGAGCAGATTCCTTGCTGGGTGGCTGACCCCAGCGCCCCAGCCCCAAGGCAGGGACTTGGCAACTGTCCTGGACCTTAGGGCTCTGCCCCTATTTTTGTGCTTAACAAGGGCGACATAGCCAGGCTGAATCGAATGCTCTTCTCCCCCCCTGCCCCTCCCCGCCCCCGCAGAGACCTCCTCCACCTCGCTCAAGGTGGGAGCCTACATCTTCATCAGCGTGGGGGCCTTCACCATGCTCATGGGCTTCCTGGGCTGCATCGGTGCTGTCAACGAGGTCCGCTGCCTGCTGGGGCTGGTGAGTAGGGCCTCCGCCGCTGCCCTGCAGCCCGCTGCACCCAGCCCGGGTGGGGGCATCGAGGTGAGGGGGACTTGCTGGGGGGCCTCAGCTGACTCTGTGCCTGCTCTGTGTCCCCAGTACTTTGTCTTCCTCCTCCTGATCCTCATCATCCAGGTGACTGCTGGGGTCCTCTTCTACTTCAACATGGGCAAGGTAAGCACCCCCTCGTCCTCACCCCAACCTGGGCGGATGAGCCGCTCAGAGTGGGGTCCAGGGTTGGCCTTGGAGTGAGAGGTAGACAAGAGGCCTCTCAGTTGTTGCAGAGAAGCCCATAGGTGCCAGGCAGCCTCCCAGGCCTCCAGTTCCTTGTGGTCACATGGCAGAGCATTAGAGGAGAGGACAGTACGGGTGGGCTTAGTCGCTGCTCAAATCTCAGGTCTACCCCACCACCTTCTTGCTGAGTGGCCATGGGCAAGCTGCATGCCTCTCTGTGCCTGTTTCACCTTCTGTAAACTGAGGACATTAGCAGATTTAATCCTCAGGATTGTTAACGATGATTCAGTGAGATTATCTGAGCAAAACACTTAGCACAGTTATGGCACCTCATCCACAAATGAGGCCCAGGGAGGAGACTGTCAATGAAAACATTCATCCTGTGTCAGAGGAGGGGACACTCAGCACAGAGGAACAGAAAATCAGACGTACCGGGGCTGAAATTCTAAGGATATTTGTCATTGACTTAACCAGAAGTCGTGTTTGGAAGCTCAGAGATCCTAGTTCTGGCTATCTGTTCAGCATCCTTATTAAGACAGCCTTCCTAAATCATGCCACTCACCTCATGGCCACAAGATGGCTGCCATAGCACAGGCACAACATCTGTGCTGCTGAGCCCGGAAGAAAGGAAGTAAGGCAATGCCAGCCATGGCCATGACTTTTATCAGAAAAGCAAGCCCTCCCCAGAAGCCTCCCCCAGACTGGGTTACAAGGGCATTCCTGGCCTCAAGGGAGGCTGAGAAAGTATGTATCCAGCTTTCAGACTCTAGAGACAGAGGCACAAGAGAGAAGGGAGCTGGCAGTGGCTATTGGGTAAGCCAGTCGATCGTGACTGTCAGTTGTCATTATGGAGCACCTACTACATGCACATGGTACTTTCTCAAAGGTTTACACACATTATTCCATCCTTACAACCCCCGCCATCTCCTGCATAGCTTCAGCACACACCATGTACTGGGTGCAGTGTTGGCCACTTTGTATTTCTTCTTTCCCTGAGCCTCACCACACCATAGAAAGGTGGTGCGAGTACCCTCATCCTACAGACGAGGGCTGAGGGCGCAAGGCGGTCAGTGGCCAGGCCAGACCAGAGCCCAGTCTCCCTGATTCCACTCAGAGTTCCCCCAGCATCCTGCCTTTTGCCAGAGCTACAGTTCTTGTCCACCAGTGGGGGTGGCAGGGCTGGCAGTCAGGTGGGCTCCCACATTTGAGCACTTGCAGGTCAAGTTGCCGCAGATCCCTCTCAGAAGGAAGCTGAGAAAAGATTACACCAACACCAACAACTAACACAGTAGAATTTAGAACAAGCCGGGTACTAAATGCTTCACATATGCTGCATTTAATGATTCGTTCCTCACGGCAAGCCTTTGAGAGCATGAGTATGAATGAATACCCTCATTTTCAGATGTGGAAGCTGAGGCACAGAGAGGTTAATTAACTCGGCCAAAGGTCACACACTTAGTAAGTGGCAGACCAAGATCTGGACGAAGGCGACCTGGCTTCTAGATTCATGCTGATGAAATTTTCATTGTAGTGGTTCTTACCTGAATCTGCTTTACTTATTTATAATCCACACGCAGCCTATTTCCCAGGAGAATTGGAGTTGGCTTTTAACATGGATATAGAGTAGCTAAAATCAATATGAGAGAGATCAGAATGCACACTGAGAGAAAGAAGACCATTGTTTCTGAGGTTAGGGGGTAAGATACAACAGCGGATAGCCAACTTGAATACTGAGCTTCCTGGCAGCCAAAGCAAAAGGGGAAATAGCAGTTTTAGTAGATGAAAGGAAGTTCACTTGGCTACCAGAGAGAAAGCTAGTGTTTGACGGAGGGAAACTACTTTTCTAAAGAAAGCATTGTGGGATAAGTTCATTTCCGCCCCACGGCACCTGGGACTTCTCTGGTACCCAGTCATTGGTACATTACAGAGAGTGAATAAGAACTGGGCCCCAGTGATCTGATTCCTGGGACTAACCCAGAAGCTGGTCTACTCTGCAGGGGTATCGTTCAGTCCACCTTTTCACCCCCGTGTGTGTCTCCATCTCACAGTAATAAAGACAGCGCCCATCTGTGAGCACCAATTGCATTCCAGGAGCTGAGCTAGCACCTCGACACACATTTCAGTTTTACAAGCATCTCGAGTTTAGGAAACTGAGGCCCAGGAAAGCAGTGACTTTTGGCCGTGGTCACACGCAGCTCAGATGCGTCAGAGTGGAGCTCTCTATGCAGATGCCCCTGACCTGAGGCCCATGCCTCTCTCTATACCACGCCACCTCCCCACTAACTGGTATAATCTGCTTAGCGCCGACCAGAAGCCAGGCCTCAGAGGCATCCCACGGGCCGAGAGCAGGGCTTGCTTGGACAATGGGCTCTCCTGACTCCAGTCCCGGCTGTGTCCAGCATGGTACCCCATTGTCCCCTCCTTTTCCTCACCCCCACCCCCGGGCTTCAAATGCCCCCTGGCCCCAGCCCACCTCACCTTGGCCCACCCCCTTTTCTGGAAGCAGGGGGAAATTTCCTGGCTTTGCTGGGGAAGTTCTGGCGCCACTCAATCGCCCAAGTTGGAATGAATGATTTATTTTTTCTTTCCCAGCACATTGTAAATCCCGGTGGGAGACTAAACATGCCCTCGGTGGTGTTTATTCCTGCAGATGAGGCCCATCTGGGAAGCCTGGCGGAGAAAGGAGTTCTGGAAGGCGATGAGCCCAGTCTTCCCCCTCTCTCCAGGCCCCCTAGGCAGGTGGGAGGGACTGCGACCCTGGGCTCCCCCTGAAGTGGTCTCCAGGGCTGCCATCTGTCCTTCCTGCCCTACGCTCCTTGCAGCCACTGTTCCCAGGGCAGCAACAGGGGAGCTGGGACCTTGGACAAGGCACTGGTCTCTCAAGCCATGGGTTCCGCATCTGTAGCTGGAGGAGAATAAACCTGGCTGGACCCCACCCCAGCCAGGGCTGCAGTGAGCCCAGACTTCAATGCTGGTAGAAGGAATAAAGTGGCGGCCGAGGGCCTGGACCCCAGCACCAAACTGTCCGTGCTGGAACCCTGGTCTGAGACCCTCAGCAAGTTATTCAGCCTCTCTGTGCCTCAGTTTCTTCTTTTGTTGAATGGCAATAATCATACATGTCCACTCTCCTTTATCTGCAATTCCAAAGTTCAAAAAACACTTTGAAAACCAAAAATACCATTTGCAACTCATTTGGTGACAAAATTGAACCTGAATGGAAATGAGGCTGTTTATGGCTTTGTTTTACCCTCTTTAAGGTGTCCCTCGGGAAATAGGAAAGGGAGAGTTTGTGGGGGTGACACATAGCCCCCAGCCCTTTCTAAAATCCAAACGTTGCTCCGTGCAGGACCCATTGGCCCCAAGGGCGACTGTATGGTGCTGCGGGGAGGATAGAGAGCATTGACAGGTGGTCATAGCGTCCACCTGGCCCAGGGCAGATGTTTGCTGGCATCATCGCAAGAGTTTATTATGACTGTCACTATTATTAACTTCACTAATGCCTAGTAAGGGCTCAGAGAATGGCAGCTGTTCCTGTGCCATCAGTATTAATGTTAGCATCAGCCCGGGCTGTGGGAACCGGGATTTACGTGTGAAGTTAAGATTCCTCTGGCTGTTTCCACAGCTGCTTGCTGTGTGGCCTTGGACATATTACCCAGCCTCTCTGAGCCTTGGGTGAACACTTGGACCATTCCCAGCTCTGACATTCTGGAATTCTGACTTGTTCTCTCCAGGCAGTGGAGGGTGGGTGCGGGGTCAATGGGGGAAGAAGTGAACTAACTTATAACTGTTTCCCACGATGTGCTGGGCGCTGGATTTGGTGCATTTATGCAGTTTGTACCGCTAACCTGCACGTGTGGGGCTCTGAGAGGTTATATCAGGGGCTTGAGCAGAAGGACGAAGGCTGAGAGCTTGGGGAGGAAGGGCTTCCGTGGTCTGCGTGGGAGCCAGCGGTAGGGGTGGTGACAGTGGCTCCCCAGAGAGGTGGCCAGGAGAACTGTATTTCCTTCCTCCTCCTTTCCTCTTCCACCTAAGACGCCCCAAATAGCCAAATACCCAGTGCACACAGGACCTAGCGCACAGGTAGCGAAACGGCTTCCTTGAGGACAGCGCCGTCTGTGAGACATCTGCTCCCTGCGATGGAGACTTCCTGGTCCACTAGCTCGGGGGTTTCCACTGCCACCGTAGGGGTGGCAGCTGGAATCAGGACAAGGGGAGGTGATGGTGGCCTTTCTTTTCCCTTTTGGAAGGGGGAAGAAGGTGTCCAGGCTGTCCTTCTGGAAAGGGTCAGAGGAGAGCAGTGGGCAGAGACTCTTAAGCAGCTGCCTGCATGGCCCCAGTGCCTGACTCAGGTGGCACCCTCAGAGAGCTTCCAGTGAGGGTGTGGGGGTGCAGGGGCAGGGAACGCGGTCCCCTTGCTGAATTCTGGAGTAGACAGTTGTATAGATTGCAGTTTGGCTTTCCAGGAAGATGCTGGGGGTCACTAAGAGTAAAAATATGCCACTCCCTCCACATTCCCCAGGGCAAAGGGTCCTCATTTCTTACGAGGATCCCAGGTGACGTCTCAAAGCATTGGCAACACCTTCTGAGGGAACCCGGGAAGAGGACAGGAAGGTGTGGGTCCCTTACATTGCATGGGGACACCTCATTGTAAGCGTTAATTTGACACATTAGAACAGGGAGAAAGGGCTGAACACCATCCCAAAGGGCCATCAAAGGAGCATGGAGACTTCCCCTGGGGAGGTGGGGGTGAAAGGAGATGTGGTTTGGTCTTAAATACCTGAATGACCGTTATTCTGGGGGAGAGCAATTTGATTTGTTGTGTATGGTTCCAGCTGGGACTTGAGTGGGAGAAGGAGGATGAAAACTAATGGACAGAAGTCATTTGAGCTTGACTTAAAATGAGTTGCTCGTATCAGGAGCCTCCCCAATCCTGCAGTATGCTGTTTTGTGTGTTACTGAGTTCCCTGTCACAGGGAGCATTTAAGCAGAGCCTGGAAAAATATGGGAGGGATTCTTATGTTTGGATGATATGCTGGACTCAAAGGTCTCTTTTACTTCTGATTGTCTGAGAAAAGTCACATTACAAGGTGAAATAAAAGCACAGCAGGGGCTGAGGGGGAGGAGAGGCACCCCAGAGGATGACAGCATCTCAGGTCAGGTGGAGCTGGTGGGTGGCTTGCTGTGATTAGGATCTCAGGGTCCTGGAGCTGCACATAGCAGGTTAAGGTCGTATCTCTGCTACTTGATGGTGATCTCATCTTGGGAAGTTATTCTCACTCTCTGAGCCTCGGTTTTCTCTTCTGGGAAATGGGGAGAATGGTGTTGGGCAGGACCAGGGCTGGCTCCCTAGGTGTGTAACCCCAGCAGCCACACACCATCCCACACTTAGAATGGTCTTGTGCTTGGTCTGATGTCTTGAAATTTTTAATCATTTCACAGTAAGAAGCCCTGCATTTTCATTTTGCACTGGGCTGTAAATTATGCAGCAAGTCCTGGGCAGGATGCTTTATTACAAGTGACAGTAACCCAACTGAAACTGGACAGACTGGCTGCAGGCTCAGCTGGATCCAGGTTCCTAAAGGCTGCCATCAGGACACCTCTCCATCCTTGGCCCTGCTCTCATCTGTTGGCTCCCTCCTCAGGCCAGCTGTCCCCAGTGGAGCTTCAGGTGGCCACCAGCAGCTCAGGCCCTTATCCCACCAGATTAATGGAAAGACAGGGCCAGTGTATGTGACCTCAGGACTCACACCCATCCCTGAACCATTCTCTGTGCCCAGGGTATGGAGGCACTAAGTGGCAGCCTGGGTCTTTGCCTGCTCATGCAGTGAGGGGGCAGGGCTTCCCAGCCACACGGAGGGACTGAAAGGTGCTCATCCCCAAGGAAGGGAACTACCATTTCAAGGAGAAGGGAGGATGGGTGTAGGGCAGGCAGAAACCACAGAGGGGCCCTGCAGGGATGAAAAGAGATGGTGAGCATCTTCTGACTCTCCCTCCTTGCTCCTTCTTGTCTCAGGAACTGTCTGGTTGCCGAGGTAACCTCCCTGGGCTCCTAACATGGCCTCCTGGCATTGGGGTGCCAAGGCATCAGCTCTAAGCTGAACCAGCCCCTGCAGCCATGGTCCCTGTGGCCTAATTGTGTCCCTCAGCCCCATTCTGGGCAGGAGGATGGATGTAGTGTTTCCATGGAAACCACCCAGCCTCAGTGGAAACCACCCAGCTTGCATCACCATCTCATTTCAGGGACCTGAAACAGGGAAGTCTGGGCTGCAGTGGCAACCATTGCTGAGTATAAATAGAGCCGAGGTCGGTGAGGGAGGGTGGGTGGGAAGGATGTAGATGAGACAGCTCTCTATGCAAATGCCTCTGGGGACCCCCTCCTTTCTATGCCTCAGGGATTGTCAGCTCACTAGGGAGTAGAGGTGGAGCAGAGGTCAAGGCAGAAAGACTCAGATTCTACAGATAGACAGCTCTGGCTGTGTGACATGGGCAAATCACTTCGCTTCTCTGGGCCCTCCTTAAAACTGCTCTGACCTACTGCAAGTTCTGGCCATATGGTTTAAATGCTGGTTTAGAGCTTAATGGGTAGAAACTTGGGTTCTGGAATCAGACAAGCCTGGGTCCAAACCCCAGCTCTTCACATGTTGGCTATGAGACCTTGGGCAAGTTAATTAACCTCTCTGAGCCTCATTTTCTGCATCTCTGTAATGAGGCAATGAGGGCAATACCTAGGCCATAGGTCTGCTCTGAGAATTACAGTGAAATCATGCATTAAAAGTGCTTAGTACTGTTCTGGTGCCTAAGAAGCATCTGATCAAAGTTAGCCACTACTGCTGTTGTGATTAGTCACTGAGGGGAAAGCTTGGTAAACCGTAGAGCTCTGTGTGAATAAAACCAAAAAAGTATTATGCTAAGTGTTTTATGGAAAGGGAGAGGGGCAGAGAGCGGTCCAAGAGGATGGGGCTGCCTGGGACAGGGGCTGGTTCCTAGGGTTGGTGAAGGGAGTGGGGCAAGGAGCCAGGCCCATGGGTCTGTCTGGAGGATGTTGGTTCTCTGAGCCCAGGGTTCACAGCTGCCCATGGGAAGCTGGTGGATGCGCCATTCACGGGGTTCTGAGCCAGGCTCTGAAGGCCCCTGCCTGGAAGTACCTGTCCCAGCCCTCCAATTCCTCTTTCAGGAACTGAGAGGCAGGTGTGGGGCTCCGCTTGGTGCCGATGCAACCCTGGCACCTGCTGGCCCCTTGCTCTTGGGTTCTGCAGGGACAGCAGTTGATCATGACCAGCTGGTGTGCCCGGAGAGGCCCCTGAGCAAGGTCCACAGATGGGGCCAGGTGGGGCCAGGCTGGGGCCAGGACTGGGGGGCTGGGGCCTGGCATCTGGGCCAAAGGAAGCCCTGTCTTCAGCTCTTAGGCTAGTTTTGGTTTGCCTCCCTTTACACAGCTGACTTGTTCCTAACAAGCTGCCACAGTGAGCTCCTCTGTTCAGAGCCCCAATAAGAGTCCTTGGGGGATGAATCCTTTTGATCCCTGCATCCCTCGTCTAGCCTTCTTTTTTTTAAAGTGAAAGTACTGGGGATTGAACCCAGGACCTTGTGCATATGCTAAGCATGGGCTCTACCACTGAGCTAACCCCCTGCCATCGTCTGCCTTCTCTGTAAATGAGTGTTTTCTCTGCGGGGTTAGTGAAAAGCAGGTGTTTCTCGCTTCCTTCAACATTGGCCATGAGTTTCCGAGCCTGGTGGGGGCCAGCACAGGTGGGCAGTGAACTTAGCGGGGCCCTGGGTCCAGCATGAGGATTAACTGGGAGAGGTGCTGCCATGGTGTGGGGGAGATGGCAGGGTTATGCTCATGTTATTCGCACCTGCCACACCCCTACTCTGCCCAGGCTGGGCCAGATAGTCCCTGCCCCCTCGGAGTTGATGTTCCAGTGGAGAAAAGAGATCATAAATCCTGGAAACAGATAGGCACGTAATGATGAGGCTATAGAAAAAAAAATCATGCTTACCCCCATAGGATAAGGAGGGCCTGGGAGGTGACAGAGAAGGACTGGTATTTTGTAGAGTGGTCCAGGAAGGCCTTTCAGAGGAGGTGCCATTTGAGTAGCATCCTGAAGGAAGTGGAGGAGTGAGCCATGTTAATATTTGGGGAAGAGGATTCCAGGCGGAGGAGACAAGCGCAAAGGCCCTGAGGCAGGGGTGTGCTTGGCACAAAGACAGCAAGATCTGTAATTGAAATAGAGGGAGTGAGAACAGAGGAAACGAGGTCTAAAAAGAACAGGGCCAAATGTTGGAGGGCCTTATGGGCCATTGAGAAGACAGTGGTGTTTCTCCTGAGAGTGGTGGGAGGCCACTGCCCGGTTTTCGGCAGTGATATGGAGAGATTCACGTTTAAAGGGCCATGTTCTGCTGAATGCTGAAGCGACGGTCAGGCAGGGGTGGTTGGCCCTGACTGTGCTGGGTGACCAGGGGGACACTGGCACCCAGGAGGTGGCAGGAAAGTGGTTGGATGGGTGATGAAACACTTGAGCCATGAGCTTGTTGCCAGTGTTTGGAGGAGTTGGGGAAGAGGCGGTCTAAGCGGATGCGACCGGAGGTGGGGCACGGGTTTCAGGAGTCTGACTCTGCCCCACGCTCTCCCCTCTGCAGCTGAAGCAGGAGATGGGCGGCATCGTGACCCAGCTCATTCAGAACTACAAGGACAACCACGAGGACAGCTTGCAGGAGGCCTGGGACTACGTGCAGGCGCAGGTGAGTGGGACGCAGGGGGACTGGCCTCTGTGTGTCTGTGTGGGGCTGGTCATCTGTGTGCCTGGCTGTGCCTGGCAGACACAATCTGTTAGTGGGCTTGTGTGTGAGTGTGCGTCTGTTGGGGGTGGGGGGGTCCTAAGCAGCCCCCCACCTGGCACCTCGGCCACCACAGTTCCTCGCTCAAGGGTCCCAGGGTCCTGGAGGTGGCTCCACGGCTTGCAGTGCTCCCACCTGTGGCTAGAGAGAAGGGGCAGCTCTGGACCCTCCATCTTAAGTCGGGCTGGGGTGTGCTGGGAGCTCCAGCCCAGAGGTTAGGAAATTGGGTGCCGAAGCTGATAGGCTGACACAGGTATGAATGGAGGCGACCCCTCAGGAGGTGCCGTGGGAAACTTCTGGAGTGAGAAGCATGTTCTATTCAAATCTTGATCCAGGTGGTGGTTATGCCAGTTCGTATGGAAAAGTTCTTCAAGCTGAGTTGGTACACTTTGGTGCAGGTGTGTTCCACCTCAAAGTGAGAGAGACTGACTGACTGACTGACTGACTAGGTTCCCAGCCTGCCTTGATGGTGAACCAGTCACCACACACACCAATCGCCCTCAGTGAGCAGGTCTCAGCTGCCCCGCTGGTGGTCCCAGATGTTGTGTGCCCTTGGTCAGGACCCACCCTCTCTGGGCTGCAGCCTCCTCCTCTGTCTCAGGAGGTACTGGACACAGAGGTCACTTAGGAGCTGCTGGCACTGACTGACGGCTGCCTTGGGGTGTGAGGGGCAGGGGCGGGACAGCAGGAGAAAGCCTGACACCAGGAGAGTATGGAGACTAGAGATGGGTCTCTGTCCAGGCAACATGGGCACGCCCGTTCTCTGAGCTGTGAAAGAAGAGGGTGATATTTTCTGGCCCACGGGCCATGCAGATTTTTGATGACATAGGGGTCTGTGTCAGCCGGGGGCTCAGTGTGCACAGGAAGATGTTTTCATCCCACCTTTGGTTTGATCCGTAACTGCTGAGACCGTTTGCTGAGATTAGAGGGAGCAGGATGTCCCAAGATGAACAAGTATCACTCTTCACGGAGCCTGGGGGAGAGGTGGTGAGCACCCTGCCACGGGAGGTGGTGGACCGACCGGGGATGCCCACAGCAGGCAGGGCCTCTAGGTGATTTGATGTCGGTCAGATGCTGCTTGGGATGGTGGTAAGAAAACAGACAGCAAGTCAGGTTCCCAAAAGCTGGAATACGATCTTGGCTACTTCCTGGCCAGACCGTCTCGGAGCCTCAGTTTCCTCATCTATAAAATGGAGCTATTGATCCATGCTCAAGTGAGATGAGTTTATAAAGCTCAAGGCATTTGTCAGGTGGCGTGTCGGCAGTGATGTGTAACCATCAAGCACAACCACTGAGATGCAGGAGGCCTCTGTGCACGGAGCCCTGGAGAGGAGGGCTCTGCTTAGTGCAGTCGAAGGGCCAAGGAAAGCTGCCTCATTTTGCTTGGATGTGGAAAGGCCTGTGGCTGTCCCTCAGAGGTGCCAGCCTTTCAGCTGGAGAGGAATTAGCTGGGCACTGGCACCAGCCTGGACTAACTGCCCAGAGCCAGAGACCATCTGAGCATGCCTGGCACGCCCCCTGCTGGCCAGTAGGCTGCTGGTCAGGGTCGAGCCGCCTGAGATGGGAAGGAAGCAGGTGGGGAACTGACCACGTGCAGGGGGCACGGTGGCGGCCTGAGATTTGCCCACTGGCCCCTTCAGTCCTCTCAGGGGCCCAACAGCAGCATGGCTGTTATCACCTCATTCTCTAGACGAGAACGCCAGAGCTCAGAGAAGTGCGGCAGCTTCCTCATTCCCAGGGCAGGGCCAGAATGTGAAAGGGCCCTCCCCCCACTCTTCTCCACCTTCCTGGGCATTTCTGGCACACAGGCTTAGCCCCTGAGATCCCAGTGCTGTCAGGAATTCAAGCCCAGATGTGACCTGAAGACTCTCGGGGTGCCCTTCACGAGCTCTGCGGAGCCCAGACAGGCTTTCTTTGCCTCTGGAACTAGAGCATTTTCTCCTCTAAAAAGGCCAGTCGACCATGTCTCCCTTTTCACTTTGGCAATCAGGAAGCTCAGAGCCAAACCTCAGCACCTGCATGTGCTCAGCGCCTGAAAGTGGAACTGGCCTTCCCTGAGCCGTGACTGAGCTCTCCAGGCCTGGGCTGGACGCTTTGCCCGCCTCGTCCCTTTCAGTCCTCATAAGGAACACTCCTTTGAGTTAGGAAGTTTTGCGCCTCCTCCCCCACCCCATTTTGCAGAGGAGGAAGCTGAGGTCAGCACTCTGACCAAAGCTGAGCAGCTGCTAGGTGGCAGAAGTGGATTTGAACTCCATAGGCCGACTCCAGCCCCCACACTCTTAGCCGTATGCCATCAGCTCTCCTTGTGACCCACACACCTACGTTCTGCCTTTCAACTTGAACGTCTCTCCTGCTCCACTTTGTGTTTTCGCTGCTCCTGATTTCTGTTTCCTGCTGTATGTAGGTTTCCCTGAGTTTATGGTAGGTGTTCCCTGAGCGCCCCTTTAAATTCCTTGTGGTTCACAAAAGCCAAAGTGAAACCTAAACTCTAATCCTGATGGTTTGGCTGAGACCAGGAGGGCCTGGAAGGGGTAGATCTGAGGTTCTGTCCAGAGAGGCCCCAGCTGGAGTGGGCAGGGGGCTCGAACGGCCTGTCCCCCTCTCTGCCCAGGTGAGGTGCTGCGGCTGGGTCAGCTTCTACAACTGGACAGAAAACGCCGAGCTTATGAATCACACCAACATCACCTACCCCTGTTCCTGCGAGATCGAGAGAGAGGAGGATGACCACAGGCTCCAGCTGAGGAAGGGCTTCTGCCAGATCCCCGACAGCAACACGACCCAGCCAGGAGTCAACAGCCCAGAGTTCTGGCCCGTCTACCACGAGGTGTGTGGAAGGTTGTGGGCCGGGGCTGGGCTGGGGGTGCGGCGGGTTCAGACGCTCGGTCTCCTTTGGCTCACCTGGGCTATTGTGCCATCTTTCCTTTCGTCATTGAGCTGTTCCTGCCTTTGATTCATTTGTTCGCTTGTCATTTGTACCTTCATCTCTGTATTCATGAATGTATCCATTCAGGGAACAGGCAGTGTTCCCTGGCCGGGGCGTGAGCCCTCCTGGCAATGCTGCCTGGTGGGGAGAGGCGGCACATGGTGGGGTGACGTGGCTGTGTTCTCCCTTCCTAGGGCTGCATGAAGAAGGTGCAGGCGTGGCTGCAGGAGAACCTGGGCATCATCCTAGGCGTGTGTGTGGGCGTCGCTGTCATTGAGGTCTGGGTCCCTTCCCCAGCCATCCCCACGCCATCCCCTGCATGTCCCCACTCTGCAGATGTCCTGGGGGGAGGGTGGGTTGAAGCCCATCTGCTTCTAGAGGCCCTGCAGCAAACCCGGCCTGACCACTGGCCCTGCCTGCCACCTGGATCACAGGCTGACCCTGGGGGTCTAGTTAAGGATCCCCATAGCCCACATCAGGCCCCGTGTGTGGACCTGGACAGCGGGATGCTTCCCTGAGGTCTCTGGAGACCTGGGCAGCTCTGCCTGCCCCTGACTCTGGCCGTCTCCCTCCACAGCTCCTGGGGATGCTCCTGTCCATGTCTCTGTGCCGGCACATCCATTCCGAAGACTACAGCGAGGTCCCCAAGTACTGAGCAGCTGCTGTCCCCACCTCCCTGCCTGTCCCCTAACCTCAGGGCTTCTAGGGGTCTCCCTGGCTCCCTCCTCCAGGCCTGCCTCCCGCCTCACTTACAAGACCACTAGTCCGTCCTGTGCTGGCTAGAAAGTGGGGTGGGGGAGCTTTCTGGGGCCTGGGCCCCTCCTCTCCTTTGCTTTTCTGCCACCAGCCTTAAGCCCCAGCTCTTCTGTGGCTCCTCTACCCAGTGTCTGCCTGGGTTGTCTTAGCAGCTCAGAGAAAACACTCCCCGCACAGGTGGGCTGGGTTTCCACCTGCCTCAGGTGCTGTATATATCATGTCAGAGAAAGTGTATTAAAAGTTTGGGGGCAGCGGAGTAGATAAGGCACCCCGGGCTGTCAGGGGACTGCCCACTGCGTGGGTCAGCTTTGTTTCCTCTCTGATGCTTCTCTCTTTGGTTTTCTCATTTTCATGGGGTAGTGGGAGAGGGTAGGCTTTACCTTACACGAGGAGCAGGACCCCTTCCCCGGGTCTGACCCACCCTCACCCCAGCAGCTCAGATCAGTCTGGGCCATGCCATGGGGGCAGGGCCTGGGTGAGCTGGACTGAAACAGGGCTGCTTGGGCAAGGGGGTCTGGACCATCCCTGGGCTGCTTAGGGAATCAGAGGGGTGAAGAGCTGGCCCTGCGTTCACCAGGATCCTGAGCTGTCCAGGGAAGGGTGGGGGATGCTTTCTCCTGTCCTCTGCCCCCCAGGGAGTGGGTGGGTGAGGCTGTGCCTTGTAGGGGAGTGGGCTGGGGCCCTGTGCACAGTTCTGTAAAATGCGGATGACTGATTATTAAAAAGGATTTGTAACAATCCGGTCTGCTACGGTGGGGATGCGGCTTCCCAGGGTAGGGGGAGGACCAAAGGGCAGAGACAATATGAACAGAGTGGCTGGATCTGCAGGAAAGAGTGGTGGGGGCCTCAGTGCGGTCTTCAGGGCAGAGGGGTCTTTTGGAGCATCTCTGGCCCACACTGTTCAGCCTGGTGCGTGAGAAGTGTGACGCTCAGCTCTGGTCCACCTGCCTGGCCACCGACATGAAGAAGGTTTATTTGTGTGTTCAAACAGGTGGATGTTACCCCTAGGTTCCAGCCTCTGAGACCAGGGACGAAGTGCCCCCAAAAAATACACCAAAGGGGGCTGGCTGGGATGATGGGGGTCAGTGAAGCCACAAGATAAACTCAGCCTCTTTCTAGAGCATCCAGTTTTTACAAAGGAAGGAAATATTTTCATAATAAAGAAATGTGATGGAGTAAGATGTGCAGAATTCAGGAAACTTTTAAAGGGGCAATATGAGACTTTAAAGGAAGCACTAGCTTGTACACAGGTGTGAACCCCAGCGTCCTGAAGCCCTGAGGAGGTGTTCAGATGCTCTGCCTTCACAGCTACTTTAGGACATAGGATGGGAGAAGCTCCCTTGGGTGGGGTAGGTATGGAAGGCTGGAGAAGGCCGATCTAGGAGGACAGTTGCCCCTCTGTCTCCTCCTTTCCAACCTCTCGAGGGCCCTGAAGGCAAAGGAAGGGATGGGTAGAGGACTTGCCTCCCCGAAGTGGGGCAGGAGGGCAGTGGCTGTGTTTCAGGGGGCCCACCAGGTGGCGCTGCTTCCCCAGCCTAGGAGCCTGATGGAACCCAAAGTTGTTCCCTGGTTATTCCAGGCGCCTCGCCAGCCCCAGACCTGTGGGTCTCTCACTCTGGTGAGTTCGTGGGTGAAAGTACAGATTCCAGGGCTCAGGAATTCTGAAGCAGGAGGTCTGGGCTGGAGTCAAAGAACCTGCATCTTTAGCAGTCCTCCGAGGTGATGCCTGAATCAAGTTGCTTTAGATTCTCTGGCCCTGATAAGATGTAGGTACGGATGCTCCCCAGAGAAAGACGGGATGGAGGGTGGGCCTGGGATAGCCTTGTCCTCCAGCAAGGAGGGAGGGGCACGTCTTAGGGACAGTCTAACTCTTGATCTTGAACCTAATTAATTTCTTGCAAGAGGATTTCTGCAGCTGAAATCGAGGGCAAACCCACTTTCAGGCTTGTGGGAGGCCACGGACACAACCCTGGGCTGAAGAAACCTTGACTCCAGGGGCGCTGTTCACCGCAATCAGGGACTGTCCCGGGAGCTCCTACCAGGCTCAGAGGGCTGAGGGCTCTGGGTGAAGCTGTTCCAGCTTATTTAATTTATGACTTGCCTCATTCCACAAAGGAAGTACATATAATAAAATGTAAAACTTAATAGAGAAAATAGAAATTTATGAGGAAGTATAGACTTGGGTGAAATTAGCACAAGTTTATTTGAGTTGCCCAACCTAGTGATAGCAAATGCATGGCATGTTCCCCATGGCTGTACTCACAGCAGACATCACTAATTGATCACTGTTCCCATTTTCTTAGCCCAGGTGTACCCTGGCATGCTTCCAGCTGATATCACTCTTTGCAACCTCTGAATCCTTCTCAACACAGCACTATTGATCGGTCTAGTTGGAACACAAAATGAAAGCAGTTGCATTCTTGAGCTCTAGTTGTTTAGTTGAACCGTATATAATTTTGTCTCTGAGCTTCCTGCTGGCCAGAGCAAAAAGGGGGAGCTTTGTCAATTATATAGCTCTCACTTCCCAAGATTTCCTTAGCTTAGCCACTGGGAAGAATGTGGCTGGCTGGAATCTAGAATTCAAGACCACCGTCAGACCCACAAACTTTGATAGCCTTTCATGGGGGGAACAAAAAGCATAAATGAGGCTACTGTGCCTGACCTTGAGCTGGTGACTGGAAACAGGGACAGAAGCTGTGCTGTCTGCCAAGGAGGAACCGGGAAGATACAGAAAATGCGCGTGAAGCAACCAGGTGATAGTTTTACATAATTGGTGCTTAGATAGCACTTGCTCTGTACTAGTCCCACCATACGTTAACTGATCTACGCACTACAATCCTATGAGGTGCACGTTTATCATTATCCCCGTTTTACAGATAAGGACCATGAAGAACAAGAGCTTAAACAGTGTCCTCAACATTCTGCTGTTGCTAAGAGGAGCGGGAGCCACACTGGCCATCAGGTTGCACAGTCTGAAGGCGAACGTGGTCCTGCTATCAAGGCAGCCGGGAGCCGTCCCACACTTACTGTCTGTCTAGATGCCCCACAGAGGGACCACGTGCTACCCTGCGCTGAAGATGGGCTTGCAAGGGGAGAGAGGCCAAGAGACAAGGCTTGGTCCCTGGCTGTGGGCTGGGGCCCCTGATCAGAGAAGAAGAGTCTGGGGCTTCAGCTGAACTTGGGCTGTGCGGGGCGGGGACAGGGTCTGATTCAGCTCAGAGGTCCCTCCACGCCCATGCAGCAATTCTACATCACTGTTTGTGTGTGTCGGGGGGTGGTTTGCAGACACCCACCCCTGCCCTGAGAAGGCGTTGGCCCCTGGGTCAGGCAGAACTCAACAAAGGTTCTGGTGTTTGGTAGCCACATGTCCTCTGGCAAAACTCTGCCTCCGTTTTCTCAACTGAGCGCTGGGATGGTGACAGGGTCATGCAAGGATTAGGTGATGTGAAAGACGTAGAGCTTCAGCAAGGCACCTGGCCCCCTGGGAACCCCGCTCCAGAGTAAGTGACTGTCCCCCTGGGCTTTGCCCATCTCCCAGTGTCCGAGACCCTGGCAGCGGAAGGTGAGAGTCTGCAGGAGGTGGGGACTGAGGAGCACTGGGTCCTGTGAGGCAGTGGTGAGAGAGTCTAGGCAGCCAGATGGCGGAGCTCCTTGGCCCGTCTGTGATGCTTAAGGGTGGGGCCCCCGCAGCGGGACATCTGAGAGAAGCAGGTGTGAGGGTATATCTGATATTGCAGACAGGGGCCTGGGCCCGGGTGCCCTCTCAGGATCCATCAGGACCCTGGAGTTGGGGGCGACACAGCGTGGGAGCAGCAGTCAGATGAACATGAAGACACCCCGGGTCCCTTTCTTCCCCCATGCACATCTCCTCCCCAAGCCCCCTTGGCCTGGGTGGTGGGAAAACGAGGGTGCCGGGATGGTCCAGGAAGCCGAGCGCCTCCTCCCCAAAGAGTGGCAGCAGGTGTAAGCTGGCTGAGAATGTGGATTGAAATCTGGGTGGGTCAGGCCCAGATGCCTGGGGCTCTGTGGCTGAAGCTGCAAGCCTCGAGAAGGTAGGGGGCAAGGGAAACCCAAGGTCACTCTTGTCCTTGCCACTGCCACCTGCTGACCTCCGACCTAAATAGGACCTGTGTCACCTCCTTCTTGGGCAGGCGACGGGGAGGGGAAGGAAGTATTGAAGGTTCTACCTGGCCTGTTCTCACAGACCCTGTGCCATACAGAGTGGGATTGAGCTCAAAACTCTGTCTGCAAAATGCTTTGGAGAAGACAGAGTAAAAGTCAGAAGTGATGAAGGGGTCGGGCTAAGCCCCTGCTCGCTTCCTCCAGGCACGCCCACCTTGTGAGGCACATCCCAGGCGTCACAGCTGGAAGGTGCAAGAGCCAGGGCTGGAACGCACGTCCTGCCTCCACAGCCTCCCCCTGCCCACGACTTCCTGCGACGCCCCCAGGGTTATGTTGTAAAGCCTGATGGCCGCTCACCCCTACCTCCTGGGGGAACCCAGTTGCTGCCACCCACTTCCCCTCCCAGGCCCATAAATTTCCACTGAGAGGGACTGCAGACTGGCTTCTCTAATTCCCGGACTGGCCCCAAGAACTGGTCACGTGTCCGGAGCCCGCCTGGGGCTGCCAGCCTCCTGCCTCTCCCTCCCTGGGTGGCTGGACCAGCTGAGCTGCCACCAGACATGCAGGGGCGGGGCTGCCCCCGGGTTGCCATCTCTCCCACCAAAGTCCAGGCCAAGGACATGCTGCTCAGAGGACTGGCAAAGGGGCCCCATGGTGCCTGGCTGCTGAGCCCCTGGGAAGTTCCTGCCCGCAGTTCCCTGGGGACAGGTAGGAGGTCTAGGTGGGCACCAGCTCGCTCTCTGGGTGTTTTGGGGAGCCAATGGCAGTGCCTAGGAAGTGTCCAGGAAGCTGGACTTTGGGGGAGCCACTGGGCGTGGACACTGACTGATGGGGATGGAAGGCAGACTTGAGCGGGAGGAGGTCCTCCTGTGTGGATTGGCGGGAGGTGCAGGGCCACCTGGAGACTGGCCTACAGGGATTGTTATCCACCAGTAGAGAAATATTTCAGTGTTTTAATAACGGACATGGCTGTATGCACACACATGCCCTGAAACCCCCTGAGCTCAGTCCATTCCCATCTGGGAGGACATTCAGCTCTTCTCTCAGACTAAGCTGCATGTGGCCAGTGGTGGGCAGGAAAGGCCAAATGTCTGCCATTCTGGAACGTTCCAGGCTTACCCTGGCGGAGCATCTCACTACCAAACCCAATCCCGCCTGTTTCCAAGCAGAGCCTCCCCAGCCCCTGCCCTGGGGTCTTCCAGGTGTGTAAGTCCCCCAGGCTGAGGAGTAGCAAGTGAAGGGAGGGTCACTGTGACACTGGGCTGGCCCACCACCAGCATGTCTCGTGGGCCAGGACTGCCACCACCTCCTTCCCCTGCAGAGGGACAGAGACTTGAGTTGCCACACTGCCTCAGGGCTAACACCCCGCTGTTCCCTGTGGGCTAAGGTTCACTCATTCATTCCATGCATACTTAATGAGCACCTGCTATGTGCCAGGCCCTGTTCCAGGCTCCTGAGAACCCCTCCGTGGAGACACCTCCATGGCACCTGTGTTCTGAACGTCGGGGGTCTTGCCCACTCACCTGTCCACACTTACACACGCCTGAATACAGCTGCCAGCTGCTGTCAGCACGGTCCATGCTGAGTGTGGGGCGGGACCCCAGGGGCCCATCCAA